GTGTGTGTGTGTGTGTGTGTGTGTGTGTGTGTGTGTGTGTGTGTGTGTGTGTGTGTGTGTGTGAGAGAGAGAGAGAGAGAGAGAGAGAGAGATTTGTGCAAGGATCTCTGACTCTGTCGTGCAGAGTTTCAGAGGAGAAAAAAGTAGTGGTGAAAAGAGTAGTGAATATCAGCATATACGCTATAATAGTGATTTATAGCAGTGAGATAACTGTCCAGAAAATTCAGGAAGTCCTTGCTAGTGACAGGAGTTACGGTGATAAGAATTTCATTGCCCGAGGATTCAACACCTAAGCTCAGAGAGTTCCTGCTGGTAGATTGAATTGCACCTTCTGTCCGGAGTTCATCTAGGTTATCGCTATCTGATAGGTTGGATCCGACTTACAAAGTGACGGACACCACAAGTAATCAAGCCGATCATAGTACACAAGTTACAAAGCAATGAATGATTTTCGACTTGAACGATTGCAAAGCCGACTTTGGGTAATGACTACCCCAACTGGTTTTGACCGCCGCCACGCGGTCATCATCGGGGGGATTCCACAAGACAGGCCTAGCGACCGAGTTTGAATCTCATACTCGTAGTCAAGAAAATCAACTAAATCCGAGTCCAGGACCAAAAATAATACCGGTTCTTGGGCCCATCGGTCCAGGTACTCTTCGCGCCGTTAAATGCGTATCAAACAAGCCAGAACTTATCTGCACACCGGTTAGAAACCTGGCAACTATCCTACTATTCCGAGGAGCATTAAACCCAAAAACAGTGAGTGCGAGCCAGGCACTGTACAACTCCGCGACAGTTCAAGACTCAGATAGACAAAGCCCGTAAGTGAAAAACAGGACATTATCTCAGATCTGTGACAGATCGAAACCAGGCAGGGTGCTGGACAAACAGCATACCTACCCTGTCGCTGCATAACATGGTTACATCGTGTGGTCTACATCCTGTCCCTGCAAATCCTGTATTCGCCTCTCATGTACGTCAATGTAGAGCATGTTGGCATCATGCTAAGTCAGACGAAACAAACAAGAAGATGTGTGCAAACTCATCCATGATACAGTTCCATCGGTCGAAGAACACCTAAAAAATCCAAAGAAATCCAAAAAAACTACTCATACAACCACACCCAGATCGTGGTCCATATCTTGTCTCTGCCTCTTGCAAAGCGTTTCGAAGTCCTGCTCAGAAACGGCATAGGAAAGCCTTTGATCTGCAATTCCCTCATCAGTGTCAGTGCTTTCAGAGGAATTTGACTGCGGATAGTCGTATTTTTGTCGATACGATGCAAGTGGCTGGCAACAACAGGGCTCTTCTGATCCTCACTAGACTGATAGGCCTGTCCGTTCTTGAATTCCAACATCCCCTCCTCCCAAATCTTCTTCTTGTTCTCTGTTTGCTGAATGCATCCATTAAACGGAAAACACGACTGCACTCTCATTTCAAGCCCCAGGAAATCCCAGACACCCAAACCATCATCAGTACATTTAAGAGACAGGTTCCCGGGATAGCAGCATTCAAATTATCTCTGAATATCCCCCCTTAGTTGCTGCTTGCTTTGGCTACTCGGAACGACAACACTAACATCATCCATCAACCTCAGACCGAACACATGCTGACATGACTTACCCAAGCTCTTCAAAAACCGATGTTCTGCAAAGGCACACGTGATGCACGCAAGTGGGGGACTTGTACTTTTTCCCGTAGGGATTCTCACCACTTGCCTTAGCAGAACCCCAGTCGCTTTTGTGTACTTGTGTGAGTTCAAGTCTCACATATTTTCCCTACCTCTTGGGTTCACTCGTACAGATCTTCCCTTGCTCAGCTGATAGTCCACCCACCCAGTCCACTGCCT